ACTCCTCGGAAGGAAGGTTGGGCAATCCTACTTCCGTAGTGATACTGCCTCGGAAACCCAAGGAGGGGTCGCTATGAGTCGGGGCCGACTTGACGGCAAATAACAACAACAACAACATACCTTAACATGGGTCTTTTTTCCTTCATTATGTGGGGTACTTCTTGTTAGGTGCCATTGAGTTGGTTTCAACTCATAGCAGAACTTTGTACAACAGAATGAAACACTGCCCTGTCCTGAGCCATCCTCACAGTTGTTACTGTGTTTGAGGCCATTGTTGCAGCCACTGTGTCAGTCTATCTCCTTGAGAGTCTGCCCCCTTTTTGCTAACCTTCTTTACCAAGCGTGATATCCTTCTCCAGAGACTGGTGCCTCTGACAACATGAGCAAAGTATAAGAGACAAAGTCTGGCCATTCTTGTTTCTAAGGAGTATTCCCACCATACTTCTTCCCAGACAGATTTGTTTGTTCTTCTGGCAGTCCATGATATAGTCAATAATTTTCACCAACACCACAATTCAGATGCATCAGTTCTTCTACAGTCTTCCTATTTCATTGTCCAGCTTTCACATGCATATGAGGTGATTGAAAATAGCATGGGTTGGGTCAGTCTTCAAAGTGACGTCTTTGCTTCCTGCCTCTTTAAAGAGGTCTTTTGCAGCAGATTTGCTCAGTGCAATACATCATTTGATTTCTTGACTGCTGCTTCCATGGGTGTTAATTTTGGATCTTCCTAATTTCTTGGCACAGATGAGTGAGTACTTCACTGTTGCATCTGTTTGTTGAAACATCTCAATGGGTGTTTCGTCAATTCCTGGAGCCTTCCCTTTTAAGGCTAATTCCTCAGTGCATTTTGGACTTCTTCCTTTATACTATCAGTTCTTGATCATACACTACCTCCTAAAATGGTTGAATGTCAACCAATTCCTTTTGGTATATTGCCTTTGTGTATTCCTTCTATCTTCTTTTGATAATTCCTGCATTGTTCAGTATTTTAGCCATGAAATCCTTCAATATTGCAACTGGAGGCCTGAGTTTTTTCTTCAGTTCTCTCAGCTTGAGAAATGCTGAGCATGTTCTTCCCTTTTGGTTTTCTAACTCCAAGTCTGCACATTTCATTATAATACTTTACTTTGTCTTCTCAAGCTGCCCTTTGAAATCTTCTCTTCAGCTCTTTTACTTCATCATTTCTTCCATTTGATTTAGCTCCTCTCCATTCAAGAGCAAGTTTCAGAGTCTTTTCTGACATTCATTTTGGTTTATTCTTTTCTGTCTTTTTAATGACCTTTTACTTTCTTCATGTATGAAGTCTTTGATGTCATTCCACAAGTCATCTGTCTTTGTCACTGGTTTTTAGCACATCAAATCTGTTCTTCAGATGGTCTCTGAATTCAGGTGGGATATAATCAAGGTTGTACTTTGGCTCTCATGGACTTGTTTTACTTTTCTCCACCTTCACCTTAAACTTGCATTGCATATGAGCAATTTTCCATAATCACCCCCTGGCCTTTTTTTGATTGATGATATTGAGCTTATCTATCATCTCTTTCCACAGATGTGGTTGCTTTGATTCCTGTGTTTTCCATTTGGTGAGGTCACGTATAGTTGCCATTTATGTTGTTGAAAAAAGGTATTTGGAACGAATAAGTCATTGATTTTGCCAAATTCTATCATGTGATTTCCGGTGTCATTTCTGTCTTTAAGGCTATATTTTCCAACCATTGATGCTTCTTTTTAGTTTCTAACTTTATCATTCCAATCACCAGTAATTGGCAATGCATCTTAATTGCATATTTGGTCAATTTCAGACTGCAGAAGTTGGTATAAATCTTCATTTTCTTTGTCTTGTTTTAGTGGTTGGTGTGTAAATTTGAATAACAGTAGTATTAACTGGTCTTCTTTGTAGGCATGTGGTTTTTATTCTCTCACTGACAATATTGTACTTCAGGATAGATCTTAACATGTTTTTTTGATGATGCATGTGATGCCATTCCTCTTCAGTCTGTCATTTTTTTTATTATTATTATGATTTGGGTGAAGATTTACAGAGCAAATTCACTTTCCATACAGCAGTTCACATATACTTTGTCTCATGTCATTGACCACAGTTTACCAAAATGCAACAGCTCCCCTCCCACTTCCTCCCCATAGTTACCTCTTTCCAGTGTCCATCCCTCCATATACTCCTGCCCCCTGAGCTGTCTCCCTGTGCATAAGCAGCCCTTCCTTCTCCCATGATTGTTCTCTCCAAGGAGTATATCACCTTGAGGTGAATGTTCAACTCATATGCCTGTACCAAATGCTTTTTTCAGTATCAAAAACAATAATCATAGGACATTTCCTCTATATTGATCACTATGGTGAATGAACTGATGTAAGCAGACATTCTAATATTAAGCCATCCTTGCTTTCCTGGAATAAACACCACACAAACATAGGGTATTACTCTTCTAACAAATGCTTAGATTCTATTTGCTGATATTTTATTTCATAGTACGCATCAATATTCATAAGTGAGATGGGTCGGTAGTTTTCTTTCTTTGTACAAACTTTGCCAGATTGAAAACATGATTATCACCAATTTCTCAAATGTATCTAGACATGCCATCTCTTTTCCTTTGTTGTGAAGCAGTTTACATGGTCTTGGAAGCACCTGCTTTTTGAAGGTTTGGTGCAAATCCCTCTGCAAGACCATTGAGACC